ATCGTGAGATCGGGAATGGTGGGAATGAATGGTGTACGACATTTAAAACTATGCAAAATATTGATAAGAACTGATTTTTAATTTTATACATTAATTTACAATATTGTGATCAAAATTCGTTTTTTAAAATAAATAAATAATTTTGTAGTCGCACGCTTTCTTTGAAATTAAATTGCATTATGGTGTAATGTGTATGGTGTATGGTGCAAAGGTGTAACGTGTATGGTGTAATGGCACAGGGTGTATGGTGTTATGGTGAATGGTGTAATGGTGTATGGTGTTAGTGGGAAGTTTACACCATCCAAGGACTGTAACAGTAATTATTTCTAATACTTATTATAAATAGAGTATTTTTTAGTTTCGGTTCCAATTATTACACCAGATCCACCTGATGTATTATAGCTGATTATGAGAGCGCCTATTGCTCTTATCTCTATCACAAATAACAGTCATTGATGGCACACCTAGATGAAAACGTAAACTTCATAAAAGACAAAATATCTTAACTAAATGAAAGAGAAAACTACAGGCTCTAAAGAGAACGAGTCGCTGATTTGGATCAATGTGCATTTGCAACATTGAGACTCAAAGATTATAGACTTGAATATAGTTCATGCCTATATTCAGTATTTTCTTGATCTTGTATTGCATAGCATTTTTTTGTGTTCACAATTTCTATCTACTATACTTTTAGCCCAAAAGAAAAATAAGGGTAAACATCTTCATTTTAGGGAAAGTACTATAAATGAACTGACAATTTTTGCTACATTTACCCTTTTCTCAATTGAGAACTTCTAGTTTCTCTCTCTATCGTACTTTTTTTTTTTTATCAAAACGCAAAATTGGGTTTTTATCAAAATGCAAAATTAGGTTTTTATCAAAATGCAAAAATTGGGTTATCATTTAAGAGCAATAACTCCTATAAGGAGTCAACTGACAATTTTCTCCAACACATTTTGTACTAACTTCTTAACAATTTATTCTCTATAACATGATTGATATATATTTCCACCATGCTTTCCTACATAAAAATGGAACCATACACTACAAATTTAATGTTTTGGTATATAATTCTGCATATTTTGTTAAAAATTAGCCCGAAAATAAAAATTATTACACCAAGGAACAAGTGATCAGTATCCTGGAGTTTCTCATTGACAGCATACTTGTTGAATTTTGAAGTAGAATATTCCAGCAGGTTGTCGGCATTCCTATGGGAACCAATTGTGCACCTCTCCTGGCCGACCTTTTCTTATTTTCATCATTCGGAGTGATACAGGTATAGTGATGATGTTCTTTCCATTAACATTCTAAACCTTCTGATTGGTCTTAATAAAATATATTCCTCTGAACTAAAGAGAAAAGAAACCACAGATGCAGCTGCCTCCGCCTCATTTCTAGAGCTTACCTCGAATTTGACAACAGCGGTCATCTCAGTCAGTATCAGAGTCTATGATGATTGATTGATTGTTGGTTGCTTAACATCCAGTGGCAAATATTTCTTGCATGTTTGGGACAAGAACAGATTAACAATAAATACAAAGGTAGATCCTGTAATAGAGGCCGTCCGGGATAAAGGTTGGGGAAATTTGGACTGCCACTGGAAAGGGTATATTGGATAGGAACAGAAATTTAACCTTACAACAGGTCACCTACAGACCCCTCAAAGAGTTGTTGCAAATGTTCTTTACGTACAAAGAGCGTGGCAATATCTTTACACGAGTCGTCGGATTTCACGTCCCCATTATGACCGGCCGTGGTAGTGAACTTGTACATCCCGCACAGCCAAACGGACACCAAACTTTGGCGAGGGTTTTATTGCTGGTCGGAGGAAGAATAATGGTGACCAAGTTTCTATTCCCAGTCACCCTTTGGGGGCCAGGGTCTATGACAAATGAGTCAAGTTTTGAAATTATAAATTTTCCTTACCTTATCAGCAGTATAACTTTGGCCCTTTTAATTTTTTTGATTCGAGCGTCACTTATGAGTCTTTTGTAGACAAAACGCCCGTCTGGCGTACAAAATGTAAATCCTGGTTTCTATAACGGGTTTACTTATACCAACTTTACCCGCGTATGGGTACAAATTTATACGATTGATATTCTAGAGCTTGTACTTGCTTCTCAGACTTTGTTAAACGTCATCGGTGTCTGATCAAAAAAATTATGATCCAGGGTTATATCAAAGAACATCCAGTACATTTTCTCAAAATGTTAATCTGAAAGTACGAAGACACAATAGACAAATATTCAGTGTCCTATTTCAGAAAAAAATACAAGATGGCATTGAGTTTTAGATACTAGCTACTAAAGTTGTGTAATTTATTATTTTCTTTACACTTTTTCCTTTATTTGTCATCGTGATATTTTGTTTCTTTTGTTAGTACGACTGTTGACGTGACTTGGTATTTATGCATCCCGCTTTCGGGTTTTTTTACTTTGGGCGTTCCTGGTGCTGGTAGGTCCTGACGTGCAATTCAGACGTAAAAGGTCTTTTGCAGTGTTGTTTCCATTTTGTTTTTCCTTGAATTTATACTTTACTTTATTTGTACTTTATTGAGAATGTGTATACTATATACATTGTTTACTATCAACTTCAAAACACTTTGTTGGTGTCTGTCAAAAAACTATCAACTGCAACACCTTTGTTGTTGTCTATGGTAGATTTATTTATATGTTTTATTAATTTTTTTGTTGAGGTTGTACGTCTGTGAAGTATGTTTAAAGTTTTTGCTGATGGGTCCCAATTATTGTCATATTAACCTATTATTGCAGAACCTACCTATTGTATTAATTGTTTATCTCACAAGGAAGCTATTAAACCAAGAGATCCAAATGGTGAAGTTGAAAGCATCCCTTCGCAAGTTTTAGGGACGCCATCACGAGTTGGTTGACCGTTATGGAATATCCGTTTCACAAATGATAACGGATATTTTCCAAATGTCGTAACTACAATCACGTCCACTTTTCCCCGAATGTGACCTACCGAATTAGATTTATTACCGGGTTTGTACCAACATGAGCAACATGATGGGTGTCACATGTGGAGCAGGATCTGCTTACCCTTCCGGAGCATCTGAGATTTTTGGTGGGGTTCGTGTTGCTCAGTCTTTAGTTTTCTATGTTGTGTTTTGTGTATTATTGTTTGTCTGTATATCTTTTTCTTTTTAAGCCATGGCGTTGTCAGTTTATTTTTCGACTTATGAGTTTGAATGTCCCTTTGGTATCTTTCGCTTCTCTTTTATTTGTTCTCGTCGTTAATAAAGTTATTGCCACTTAGTCAGTACAGCTTCTATTTGACTATCAATCATTTGTCTGTAAAATTTAGTTCAAAACGTTTGCAGGTTAATTAAAACTATGATTGCAGCTCCCTCAAGCCACCTAAGACAAAATAATGGCCACTGGGTGAATGGAATCTTTCAAGTCCAAAATTCAAGGCAAATACCCAGTCGTAGTAAAAATTTGTAATAACGATTTCTTTGCGCACGACAACTTTCTGGAATAAGAGTTTATTTTTTGTTGTTGTTGAATATTGTACAATGTATCCATGAATTTGTATTTGAGTCTCATTAACTTAAAACTTAGTGATTCTTCCATGTTTAATCAAAGTAAATCATGTGTATAGGTGCTTCACCATTGAACAGCGCAGAAGTCGATTACTATCTTTTTTTTACATTTCTAAGAAGAAATATTCCAGCAACACCTGCATAAGGAGTATATATCTTCCAGAGCTTGCGTTTCCCATCATTGATCCTCTGATGGAGAGCTGCTGCTTATAATGAAGCTATTAAAGCACGGGTTCCAAGTGGTAATGTCGAAGTCATTTCTTCGAAAATTTTACGGATGCAATCACGAGTTGGTTGAAAAATATGTAATATCTGTCTTACCGATGACAAAAGATATGTTCAAAGGCCCGTCTTCTAATCCTAGAATAGAGACATCACTTATAAGTTTGACTTACATCAGCAACGCGGCAGTCTTTAGTTTTCTATGTTGTTTTTTGTAGACTGTTCGGTTTTTGCTTTTTGTGTGTGTGTGGTTTTTCATTTTTTTGACATGCCATTGTCAGTTTGTCTTCAACTTATGAGTTTGAAATTTCCTTTGATATAAATTAGCCTCTCTTTTTTACAAAAACAAGTTAACAAGTAAAAAGCTAATGTTGAGATGCAGAAATCAGGCTTCATAATGCGCAGGTGAGCAAGAAATGTTTCCAATTCTCAATCTTACTATAGAGTGTGTCGTTATATAATAGGATAATTGTTAAAAGACGATCTGTTACACCGATAAAATATAAAATAAAACAACCTATAGATAACAAGCTCGGAAAATAGATTGTTCATGCTACTTTATGAATTTTTTTGAAGGATTTAAACAATGCCATACGGGTTTTCCGATTCGCGTACAATATATATTGAACTAATTTGTCAAACATATCAATAATTGACCGCAGTATTGATAATGGCAAGGAAATCTATAAGGATCGCATATACATATTTGAGAGATCATAAAAAAAACAAATTGTAGTCAGAAAGACGCTTATCAACAGTCATGGGTGATGGCCATCTTGGATGTCACCTACACTTTAGACTTAGGGGGAGTATAAGAAAAAATGAAAGGAGTATGTGACCGATACCGACCTGCTGTCGGACTTCGACAACTAAAATAATATAGAAGTTATGAGCCTGGGGCTGTGAACGGGCGATTTGGTACTTTCGTTCTCAATCATTCTTATTACAAACGCACGCCACCTAATTACTCAAAATCTGTCTATGGATTAGAATCAATGCTAAAAATATACCCAAGCAAAGATATTTTTTACCAGACAATCTACCAAAGCTACACAAAAAGTAGTTTATTGAAATCATAGACCAGACGTGTGAAGAGAACAACTATTTCTTCCATTGAAATTATTTCTTACATTACTAGGATGATGATCTACAGTACTAGTAATGAAAGTCATTAATCAGCTGCCGGTAATAATAAGGAAAACAACTCGTTAAATGTTATTCACAGATATTTTACAACATATATTCCAGAAACATCTACAAAAAGGAAAATACAGAAATTTACAATATGTAAAATTGAATATTTCCGATAGCACAGTGCCTATGGTACAGACGAAAAGGTTATATATATGTACATGTATGTTAGAAAATGTCATACATTTGGAATTTTCTCAACGTTCTGTGTGTCTATCTTGAAGTAATTAAGATTTTGTTACGATCCAAAGTTGAAATGCACATAATATTTACAGGTCTCGCATTGTTATCATATAGTTAATATGCAGCTTACAAACAATCTGTTTCGATCTGCATTAGCTTCTTTCTCTTATACAACGTATAATTTGTAGTATTTTCATTCCTGTAATAATCTTCAATTAATATCAGAAGTGCATCGGCATGTTATCTGAATTTTCAATAACATACATGTAGCTATGTGGCAACTGTCATTTTGTGATGGTCTCTACTTTCATGGAAATTATTTCTTATTAATGAAGTCTCCTGAACTGAATTTTTTTTCTTGTTGAAAATCTGGAAAGAAAATATAAAACTGAATGCTTGACGTATATTTCGCAATAGAAAATAAAAAGTATAATAAACACTCACTAAACAACCCATTTTCACTAGGATGTACGAATGATAAACATAATTCTCAATGAAAGTCTGTTTAAGAATTTTTATAAGTATAAGAAAACGAAAATAGAAAGATTTCAGATCTTGAAGGATAAACACGCTTTGATGATTAAGTTTACTACAATGAACGACAGTCTCCAAAACTATATAATCAAATTCTGGAAATAAAACTAACAACTTGAAAATGCTTCATTAGTAGTTTCATTATATAGGAACGTATAGTATAACTATTTTTTAAAATACAATAGGAAAAGATCACCAAGGGGAACTGGGGATTAGAAATATGGTCACCATTGGTCTTCCTCCGACCGGCAGTAAAACCTTCGCCAAAGTGGTGCGTCCGTTTGACTGTGCGGGATGTACAACTTTGCAGCCACGTCCGGTCAGTATGGGGACGTTAAATCTGATACCTCGTGTGAAGAGAGTGTCACGCTCTTTGCATGTTAAGAACTCTTGCAACAACTCTGAGGGTCCGTAGGTGGCCTGTTGCAAGGCTAAATTTCTGCCCCTATCCAATATACCCTTCCCGTGGTAGTCCAAATTCCCACGACCTTCATCCCGGACGGCCTCTATTAGAACCTATATATTGTATTTATTGTTGATTTGTTCTCGTTCTGAACATGCATGAAATATTTGCCACTGGTCGTTTAGCAACCAACAATCAATAGGAAAATACATATACATATTGGTCAATCATAAATATGGAGAAAAAAACGGAACCAATTATTCATTGAAATGGAAATTATCAATAATTTAAAAACAAGAGTGAATCGCACAAGCCTGTCAAATATGAATGCGGTGAGTTTGATCGACACGATCCCATGTTTTGTAGATACATGTATCTCTGACTAATCCTTCGATTCGGAGCACCAGAGTTGACTTATAGTTTGTAATTGGGGGAACAATATTATAAATTTATTTTTCTGTGTAGTGTTACAATTCTTTATAGCTTTTTTTGTCTTTGGCTATTATGGTGTTGCAATTATCTGTGCATTGACTTGTGAATCTTTGTTTATTGTCCATTGATAAATTTGTATGCATTTGTATTTGAACTATTACATCACCATTAGTCATGCAACTCAACAGCAGGTCTCTGTAGATTATTATTTTATGAGAAGAAAACATCATTCAACACGATAAATGAAATCTCCATCATGTTGTGAAGAAGAATAGGACCAAGTTACGACACAGACAAAAAGTTGTCTGAAACCGCATATTTTTTTTAATAATTTGTCGATAATTTTTTCCTGCAGAAGTACAATATATGAATTATTAAGTTTAAATTATGTCATCATGCTGCTATATATAAATATATCAGAAAATGCATTTAGCACTCATTTGTTGAGAAAAAGCAAAAGAACCATTAAGGACGTCTGTTTACCAAGTGTTTAAACTTATTATTAAGACCACAAAGAGATGTTGGGGTAGTTCAGACATTTAAATTTATGTTAACCATTTAAATATTATTAAAGATTAAGTAAACGCGTCTCAGCATAATTTTTAAAGAGGGCAAATACGTTGGATGCGGAATACTTCGATTCAGATTTTCGTTGTGGCAAGAATTCAAAATGCCAATGACGGGTGTCGCATATTGAGCAGGATCTACTTTCTCTTTCAAAGCACCTAAGATCACCCCCGGTTTTTTGTGGGGTTCGTGTTGCTCAGTCTTAAGTTTTCTATGATGTGTGTTGTTTGTCTTTTGGTCCTTTTCCATTTTTTTTGCCATGGCGTTGTCTGTTTATTTTCAATTTATGAGTTTGAATGTCCCTTAAGTATCTTTCGCCTCTCTTTTTTAACGTGATGCACTATTTGACCATTTTAAAAATCTGTGTCCCATCATTTGTACACGACAACGAACTAACAATACTAAGCATGAAAGTTTGAAGAGCAATTAAGCAAGAAAAACACCATAAAGGAGTACAAATTCAGCAAAGGAATCATACCTGGGCCTAGGAAAAATAAGCTTAGAATTTAACATACTGAATCAACACAGAATCATTTGTTTAACCATTTCATGATCATAGAATACTATATAGAAAGTGAAGTTCAACATGGAAGAAATGTGCAAGCATTCGATAGTTATTTAATATTAGGTTAAATGCAATACATTATGCCTGATTTTTCTCTTCTTGAAAGTAGTAAACCTTATTTTTAAATAATTCATGGAATAGGCAATCCAATATTACGCAAAACATTTCGACTAAGAGAATCGGTATCAAATTAAATGCATAAGGTCAGACATTTTTTCGCCATGCCAATTCAGGCTGTCGAAAAATATTTTCTGTAAAGGCTAATGATTTTATGTTGTCTCATTTTACTCTTAATTGGATAAATAAGTAATCCCTCTAGTCCATTATCATTGTGCAAAATCGAATGTTTAAACCGCAAACAATCATCAAACATATATTTTGCCAACTTGATTTATGTTTTTTTAAATAAATAGAGATATGCCGTTTACGTTATTGAGTCATGGTCATTACAAAACAATACAAAAAAAACAAAAAAAAAAACAACATAATTTTGGAAAAAATTATTTTATCGAATTTTTGTTGTTGGAGATGGAACAAAAAACTCAGAAAAACACAGAAATGATTGATATTGTTTGTTGCTGAATGTCTAGTGACCATGGCCATACAGTTTAAATGTAATTGCCTGAATATAAAGATTTATAATGTTGACGATTGCAAAACGTGACATTCCTTTCCGAAGTTGACTAGACAAATTTAATACATATATCATACTGGAATCTATGCACATAACACGTATGTCTGAGTATATAAGTGGCAACCTAAGTCTTAATTAAAATTACAAAATGTAGAACTTCAAACGTCCCATATATTCACAAACATGCTTTAAGATTGGTGGGCTCTTCAAAAGTCAAGTTAATCAATACTTAAATGCTATACTAAATGTTTTCATTTTATTTCTTAACGAACTTGTCATTAAATACAAAGGATTTTGAACTTGCTTTGTTTTAAAGATTCTTAGGTCTATAATAAACCATGAGGTTTCAATATGTTTTAAATAACAAGGGAAAAGTGTTAAAAACAGAAGACGCATATACTAATTGGTATTTTAACAACAGTTTGATTGCATGCTTTGTTTTCTACAATATGAACCTTCAAAATGACAATCCATCATACTTTTGAAGTTGCTGTTAAAGTTGTGCTTCTGAACGAGTCAATTCTTGCAATAGCTGTCCATCTTGGTTTCTTATAACATCCACACATTGATTTAATTCCTGTGAATATAATTAGAACATTTTTTTATTAATACAACTAAATTAAACTTAGGTTTGATCGACAACTCCTCTGAAACGTCATAAAACTATGTTAATTATTTTATTTATTTGTTTATTTTACAATATATACGTCCTAAAATATTATCTGGAATCTGTTCTCTTTGTTCGTAGTTATAGAATAGCCCGTGTTTAACTCTCTTCATGTTACATCATAGAAAATAGCGTCACATGGGAGCAACCGTCTTGTTAAGTGAACATGACAAAGAGAGAGCAATCTGACAATCTGCAATTTGTTGTTTTATCATTCAAAAACAATTCTGCTGAGTAGCTTTAAGGAAAAAAGGGTTCATGCAAGTATAACTTTATCCTTAAAGCTATATTGTTAAGGATCACTGATTTGCTTTTGTTTTGCCTGAAATTAAACTCTAATCCAAATGAAGAAAACAATCAACAGAGCTACACAAACTGGTAAAAGACAATTTTACCAAATAAATGTAATCACTTTATAAATTTCATGCGTCCGAAGAGCTTTTCTGAATTTATCATCATCAAGAACGCTCAAAACCTAATATTCCAGTAATGTTATCAATGCTGAAGGAAACGATCACTTGTTAAGAATTATTTCTTTGAGTACACTATTATCGATAAGATAGGAACTTTTTTCTAGTTCTATTGTACTATAAAATCCACTAAGATAAAAGGTACAAGTAAAAACGAAACTAGTACTGTATCAAAGAAGGTCCACACTTACTGGCAATACAGCAAAGTACTAATAAGTTAATGTTTATTACACTCTTTGTACGTATATTTAACTACGCGTTGGTTGTTTATACATAGATATAAGAAAAATGTGGTATGAGTGCCAATGAGACAACTCTCCATCCAAGTCAAAATTTAAAAAAGTAAACCATTATAAGTCAAAGTACGGTCTTCCACACGGAGCCTTGGCTCACACCGAACAGTAAGCTATAAAGGGCCCCAAAAATTACTAGTGTAAAACCATTCAAACGGGAAAACCAACGGTCTAATCTATATAAAAAACGAGAAACGAGAAACACTTATGAACCACATCAACAAACGACAACTACTGAACATCAGATTCCTGACTTAGGACAGGTGCAAACAAATGCAGCGGGTTTAAACGTTTTAATGGTACCAAGCTTTCACCCTTTTTCTGAAACAATAGTGTAACATCACAGCATAGAAAGACACATGTATTAATTTAGTGTTTGCTATTCGTCCAGTTACAAATAGTTCATGTATTATATATCTGTAACAAGTAGATTTTTCAAAGTTGGTAAACTAAGATAAAGGACTTTGACTGCCTTGCAATAAGGGTTATGTTGGATAAGGATATAAGTTTTGCCTTGCAACAGGCCACCTGCAAATCCAACAACGATTTGTTGATTCTTAAACATGCATAGATCGTGACACTGTCTTTGCACGAGGCATCAAATTCATTTCGACAGGGTGTTTCTGCATTTTTATACTCCCCAAACAGCCAAATTGATGACATATTTACTATGGATTTGACTGCCGGATGGGGGAAATTCATTGACTAATGGGTCACCCTTGTCAGTCCTGTGATATGTGTTATTTAGTGTGCTGTATTGATTAGACAATTAGAAAACATTAACTCGATCACTATAAATTCATCTTTATCGATTTTTAGCATAACGTACGTACCTATTTATGTTTAATACCGTTTTGTTACCATTAAGATACCAGTGTGGAATATGTTAACGCAATTTTGCTAAAATCTGATCAATTAATACTTTGTTAGTTTTATCACAATCTTCAATTAAAACGTTCTAAACAGAACAGCATGAAACCACGAATCACGTATTTACATGCACGGAGTATTAAAAGAAGGTAGTAACACATCCCATTAGAGAGAATGTTAAGATTTCAAGATAACATATTGAACAGATATAAAACTCAAATTATATTTTAACAGTATTACATTAGCTAATTGTTGCAAGGTAATTATAAAAAAAAATGAATGTAACTTGGAAATTACATTAAATGTTATTGGTTAATCGAGACGGTCAATTTAATACCTGTTTGCTGGTTACTAGATTAAAAATAATTTATCGTTTCAATTGCGATAAAAAAAAGCATAAGGTCTGTTGTGTAATTGAGCATTATAAAGGTTAAAATGGTGAAAACAGATAATATTTAGAATATTTTCACTTGATACTTGTTGAAAGAAAAAGGCTAGTGTATTTAAGCTAAACAGAAACATTGTACGTAAGGAAAGCTTAAACATAAAATTCCCAAATTGAAGCTGGGTTGTCGTAAGAAATGTCATTTATACCGGATGTCTATATCTGTCTATTGTTTGAATAAAAAGAGGTTTAGGGATTTATATGTTATACGGCAATAAGACAGCAACCAAACGACACAAGCAATCAGAAGACATCTAGTGATCAATAAAATCTCTTCAACAGTGAAACAAATTTATACAATATGTGGAGAGCTTAATAATGCGTCAATTTGGGATTTTTTAAAATATTTTAAAACTTTGACTGACACCTAATTCCATTGAAGAATAAAGTGCACTTTACTGTACTATATCAGGGACTTTCTATATTAACTGTCTAAATAGTATAGACTGTACCTGACTATATGTAATAATGTTGAAATTATTTCTTATCATACAAAATATATTCCAAACTGGAATGTTAAGGTGTTAAAAAAAGTTTTGTAGCTATAAAAAAACTGCTTTTATTCATCCATGAAGAATTGCAATTGAAATCGACGTTAAGCCGGGCCAATGTACCTATGAATCAGTTGCACCATTTAACACTGGCCTTGTCAGATCAAAATTACCATTTTCTCTGACAAATTTGAATACCTAGACAGGAATAGAACATGTGCAATTAAGAACTGTTAAATCTTTTGACCAATACTCTATTTTCAATGAAAGACAGCCTATCCAAAGGAACAAAGGTCAGACCAGATACTAAGTAACCATGGTAAAATGAATGGACAAATCATTTCAGTTCTCCGCCAAAACAAGGGGCAATGATATTGAAATCAATGTAAAATTGCAATACGACAAGTGCTCTATATTTGTTCTTTCGATGGGGACGATGGTAATTTATATAGAATTACAAACAAGATTGATCGAAGCAAAAATAAATACATATTATGGCGGACAAAACAGCATTTTCCAGTGGTTATTTACCTTACCCACTAAACCTTTCGAAAACTGAAAGAAACAAAATATGGTCCAGTAAGCGTTTGTGTTAACAACAAAATTGAAATAACTACATTTTATTCTCTATTTCCACGAAGGTTTTTCCCCCATTTAATCCTGTTTATATTATCGGTCACGTTATTCAAAATTTACATACAGCAGACGCAGAAACACAAATAGTATGTCAATTGTTATTTAAGTTTAAATCGGTGATTATTCTTCCTGGTTGCATAACTATAAATATGTTTTTCTGACCGAATTATCACCCATTAGGAGCAATCTCCGCATGAAAGTGATCCTCTTAAAACTACATACAAATCATTTCCAATTTTGCATTATATCTGTTTACATAAGCATGTTGGTTTTGTTTAATAGTTTCTTAAGGCATGATAGATAAAATGTTATGCACTCTTACGACAAATCCATTCCTTACATTATTTCAAATGGATAGACAAACATCTATTTAGGACCTTTATCTGTGAAAGATTTGAAATGCCGTCTGTAATATATAATGTAGAAAATATTAAACCGCAGTTAAACATAAAAAGGATCCATTCAAGCACAACTACATAGGGGTAAAGCGAAGGTTGGGAACACTATCAGATACCAAATAAAAACTTAAGTCAAGAAAAAAAGGAAATTGTACAATAAATTATAAAAAGGTCATATGCTATTCTGTCCAACATTAATAATCCTTCCGGATTAGATTCATCTTTATCAAGAAAAGTACAAATGTCAGTTAATGAATACATATTATTTCGTAGTCACGTAGTGAAAAGATAATTAAATTAATCATGTTAATACAGAATTCAGTTTTGTTGTTAATGCATTTGATATTTTACCTTTAAATATTGTGTTTTCTTATGGTACGGTCCGAAAGGGTTTTTCTTGCTGTGTGTGTGTGTTTATTCTATTGTCTAAAATATTGTAAATTAGAAGAAATCACAAGCTTCCAATTACTATAATATATTCAGGTATTAATAATGGCAGATCTTTGATAAAGCCAGTTAAATATATCCAAATATTTTCTGTTTGACCCGATTAAGAGCTTGGTATATTTGTATATTGTAAATTCGTTTGTCAATTGTTAATATAACAGGTTCACCTCCAGATATCTTTCCGTTCATGTGTTGTCGGTTTGCTGTGTAATTGATGTATAAAACCTGACATTTCCTTTTATTCATAATTAAAGATGGGACATTGGTTGCTGTGTTTAATATACACATCAGCTACCCTGAGGTAAAACGAACTTTTGTTATATGAGAAATTTAAAAAGTGTGCAAGTCATCTTTTCATCAATAAAAAAAAAAACGTATGGTAGACGTCAATGAATGACTGATTGATTGATCGATTGTTGGTTTTTAACATCACTTTCATCATACTTGACTATTTCTCGGCGGCCAGTTTTTATTGGTGGCGAAAGCCGGAGTACCCGGAGTGAACCACTGACCTTCTCAATCCTAGTCAGTTAAGATAGGAGTCGTGTACTTCTTACGAGCGGGATTTGAACTCGTGATCGCTGAACTGCATAAATCACTCAGCTACCGGGCCCTAGTTTCAATGAAGCAGCAACAATGATATACACATGCATTTTATAAACTATTAAAATTATGAAATACAATGTACAAAGGAATGTACAATCAACTCAATTTCATTTCTGATTAATCATAATGATCAATTTTTCAAAGTATTAGGTTGCTGTCCAAAGGACGTATACATAACATCACATTTTATTCTTGTCATACCAGTAGACTATGCGAAGAAAGCATCCCGAGATGTAGGCCGGGAATTTTTGAAT